ATCATAATCCAGTTAATTACTTTCTACTTTTTTTTTCTTTCAGACTTGTGTACAAATATTTTCTTATACTATATAAACTTAGCTATGGTTTAGGTATATTTGGATATCTGGTAATCATGTTCACATTATTTGGATTCAACTTAGTATTCGCTATCAGACCTGATAAATCCATGGATTTTGGTGTATTGGTTTTGTTTTATGGTGTGTATTATGGTGTACTTGGTAGAGACTTTGCTGAGATCTGCTCTGAAACTATGGCAGCACACATTGGGGTACGGTTGAAATATTTCTTTTTATATTACATGTATTACCACTTTCTAGCTTTGTGCTGTCATTTATACAATCAATGAGTTTTGTGTATGACTAATGAGTTAAAAAACTGTTAAAAATTGATTTTTGATTCAGACATTCCTAAAAAATTATTAAGATTGCTACAACAACAACCTATACATCATTTCAAAGGGTAGATATATGTGATTGTGGATTACCTGTTTTGTTTTTTGACTATACCAACTATTAAAAAAAACTGTTTTAGAGAATGTGTAAATTATATCAATTTTTACCTTGCTTTTCACTTGGTTCTACCTTAACCTTTTTTCTTCTCAACTTCACAAAATCATCCTATTTATAGTATGCACCTTCCTTGAGTGAAAACTGACTCAAATTTTGTCCAAAATTAGTGTTCATTTCCAGAAATATTGAAGAATATAAGAAAACAGTGCAGAAAATATTGGGCGAGAATGTCTGGTGGTGAAAAAGTCAATGTGTGGGGGAGAATAGTTGATAATTTACTCAAATGATTCTGCATGCAACCCAGTTATCTAATTCTTGTAGGTCACAAATATTTCTTGAATGCTGTATTATTTGTTAATATAATACACATATAGCATTGTATGTATTTTAGTGTTTCATGAAACAATAGAGTGCATGTATTGGATTCAATTGTTGCCAAAATTATGTTTAGACGTCTTCAAATTAGTTATCAAATATTTGTCTAATGTTTCGTGACAAGGGAAGTGAATAGTAAAACCAAAAATATAATATTCAAGTTTTGAACATAAACAAGCCAAGATAAACAGTCATACCCAGAGTAACATATTGATGGTAACAGGCATAGATTTAGGAATAGCATATTACTGTACAATACTTTATTTTCGCTTGGAATTTATTTCTGCTATTTTCGCTGAAGGGTCGATTCCATGAAAATAAAATCCAGCGAATATACTTTTTTTTTCTATATTCACATTAAACTCATTAAAAATCAGTGAAAACAATATTCCATACAAAACGCCCAAAAGCCCTTTTCAGCGAAAATTAATTCCAGTGAAAATAAAGTATTCCACAGTTAGTTTTTCCAGGCTTTACTTGCCATGGATTCTGTTTATAAAACTAGTTTACATAATGCATTTTATCTGATCAGATTAATCTCGCCAAACATTTTATTTGATGAGAAAATTAGATGTATACATGATCAAATTTCAAGAAATATCATCAGACGTCAGATTCTGCGATTTAATATTCTGATTGAATATTCTGACACCAGAAAGTTCACAGATTTTTTAAAAATCTTATTTGATGTCAGATTTTGTAGTATCCAATTTATTTGAACAGATTAATCGGATCAGATAAATCAAATTGTGTAAACTGTTGGTATTTCCAATAACAGGCGTATGTACTGCTGTTATTGGAATTGGAAATACCTTTTAAGTGTTACAGTTATGATATTTGTGTTTTGTGTTTAGTATTATACAAAGAATGGTCTTCCAGGACGGAGTCTAGAACCCAATGTATGTGCTGTATGTGGACAATCAGTGTACACACCAAGTGAACATGAAGAAGTCATAGAAAATGCCTACAAACTCAATTGTCATCATGTGTATCCTTTACTCATCTATATATGTCTACTGCCGGAGTACTGTAAAGGGGTTAATTATTCACTGGGTTTTAATTTTGCTTATTTCGCTTAAATTCGCTAAATTGAAACCCAGTGAATATGTAAAATTTAGCATAGAACACATTACCTAAATGATAATACCGTGAATTTAAAACCAACGGAATATGCCTGAAATGGTAAATCAGCGAAATTTGAACCCAGTGAAAATTAGTCATTTTCCAGTATAATGGTATAAAGCACCAAACACAAAGATGCAAATAACTTTTTTTTAGCATTTTTATATAATTTTGTTTGATATTAGATTTGACAAATCATAGGGATATGATTTATTATAAAATAAATTCAGTGTTTTGACTGTAAATATAAAAGTGTTTAACTATCAAGACTTTATGTACAGGTAAATCTAAGATCTGTTTTCAAGTATTTCAACAATGAATACTGGTATGTTTACTAACAAAACAGGGGTTATATTTTATGAAAAATCATACCCTAATGTGTTTATCAAGATGTAATATAGAAAACAAACATTCTCAAAAAAACTTAAATTACCAACATTTCATCTTTAGTGTGTCAAATTATCAGCAGTTTTACTTCAGTCTGTGAGAGTTTGATATCACGATTCTTGTGCTAAAAATATTATTTTCAACACTTCAAGTTCAGTCATATTTATTGCATTTAAGTGAAAATACAAATTGATGATTTAGACAATGCAGACAACCAGAAACTAACAAAAAAAAATTCAAATGTTTCCGTTTAGTCTCAATTATTCAAAAAGTTATCTATACCATACAGTACATCAGTCATCAATGTTGTTTTTTATTTACCCAGTATTGTATGTTGAGTTTAATACTTTAGCAACAACAGTGACTAGAACGTTGGTCTTGCTTATTTTTGTTTTTACGAAAATTTAGTTTTTTTATCATATGTGTTCATCTAAGGTTTGGGAACAGCAGCATAAAATAAAATCACATTGTAAAATTCAATGAAATCTGATGATGTGTTTGAATGACAGCAACTGTCTTTATATAAATTCAGCGCCATTCTGATTTGCCTATGATCCAAATTACTGTAGATAACTGAAATTGTGAACAAGGTCAAATTTTTTTGCATCAAAACGTTGAGTTACAATTAAATGGGAAACCAAAACAAATCGTTTGAATTTGAATTTCCTTCAATTCATGTGTATTTATGTTTCAAATATTCACATAGCATACCAATGAACACAAAAATAACATCTATAAAGTTGCAGGGAAATCATTCATTAAGCTTTATTGGATAATTACTATTTAATGGTATGAATATGTGTGCTTTACTGGTAATATTTTCAGATTAGCCATTCTGAATTACATTAACAGTGATGTAACCACTTGCATTGGGATTCAAATTTTTAAAAAATTCTAAATCAAAACAATTAACTGGAAAGCTAAAACAATCAGACATGCAAAGAAATATTATGAGAATTAATTGAATGTTTAATACATGTATCTCACAATTAATGCGAATTCAAAAAAATCAAATACTCAGAAATGATGGGAGTTGTAGAATTAATTACATGATCTCTGATATGAATAATATTTGATTTTGAAATTCATTTTTTTATTTTTTTCTCTCATGCCATGTGAACCTTAACATATTTCTTGCACAGATTTCATGAATTCTGTATACGTGGATGGTGCATTGTGGGTAAGAAGCAGACGTGTCCTTACTGTAAAGAGAAAGTGGATCTCAAGAGAATGTTCCGTAATCCGTATCCTTTTCTAGCAGCTTGTGATATTTGTTGATTTGAACAATTTGTATTTTGCAATACCCAATTTTGTCAAGTCGTGTTATTGATGGTGAATCATCTCTCTTTAGCTGCAGATTTCCATCTAATTATTTCATCTGTGGATTCTAATGGAGTCTATAACATTTCATATCACTATACAAGAATATTGAGTCTGTTTTGGTTAATGCTCTTGAATTGTGTTTCAGAGTGCAACAGATTCAGAATGATACAATGAATACCAGCTTACTTAGTATTTGTATGTCTATATTTGTTAAATACTAACATGCATGTACTTTCAACTTGAATTTTGTTTTTTAATTACATTTAATGGTTTTTATGGTGTTTTCAGTGGTGTTTAAT